TTAAACTCACGCCGGGCGCGTGTGCGTGCATGTCCAAGATCCCGAGAGGAGAATGGAGGAGAAGGAATTACGGCGTGGCCATCCCTCCTGGGGGGTGATTTCTCGCTTTCTCTCTTTCTATCTCTCTCTGTCTTTCTGGCAAACGCACATGCCCTATAGTAAAAACCTCTCAAAAAATAGTAATAATAAATAAAATTAATATAATAATTTTTAAAAAAGAAATAAAGAAAAAGAAAATCATACCAGGTGTGTGTGTGTACCCAAAATCCTGAGACAACAATGGAGGAGAAGGGACTGCAGCATGGCCATCCTCCCTGGGGGATGATTTCTCACTTTTCTTCTCATTGTCTCTCTCTCTCTCTCTCTTTCTCTCTTGTGAGCATACATGCCCTAATGGCAAAAACCTAGAAAACCTCAGAAAACAAAAGTTCTTAATTAAAGACATCATAGATAGTTTTCAAATTTAAGGAATTATTCTTCCATTTAATTTGCTATCATTATATATTTATAAAACAGAAAAAGATTAAACAATACCATTTCAGAAGTAAGCTGCATTTCCAAGAAAGTAGAACTTTCTTTCAAATAAGAAAAGTGCCAAATGTAAGTATACCACAGTTTATTTTAGTGAGAGATTTTTGCTGTAGAGTGCATGCGCTCTCTGGAGAATCAGAGAGACAGAGAGAAAGAGAGCAAGAAATCACCCCCCAGGGGGGACAGCCAGCCATGCCGCAATCCCTTCTCCTCCATTCTCCTCTCAGGATCCTGGGCATGCGCGCACACACACCTGGTGTGAGTTTAAGCCACCGGGTCCGGGACTCGAACCGCGGTCGATTATATGGGAGTCCAGTGATGTGACTACTATGCCGTCTGCTGGTCCCAGTGTAATACATTTTTACATAAATGTACCTACTGCATTAGCCCGTGGGTTATAGAACACTTGAAGTGGGTAGTGCTAAGTGACCCATCCAGATCTCTAGGTCCTGGCCCGACACCACGGTGTGACCTGGGCTCAGTCACCAAACCCCGAGCTCCATTTTCCTTATGGTAAGTCAGAAGCGATAACAGTTATTCTGTTTCCTTTCATTTTTTTAAAGTCCAATGGGTAAGAATCATAAAGTGCCATGCAAATGTAAGTGATTCTCAAACGAGAAGATACAACTTGTGGATTACCGTATTGACTTTAAAATATTTGAAGGCAAGGGCCAGCAGGTAGTATAGTGGTTAAGGTGTTAGATACCCACGTGGCGTGGTGGTTAAGGCTCTGGACTCCCACAAGGCCGATTGCGGTTCAAGTCCTGGACCCGGCAGCTTGAAAATCACTCCGGGAACGTGTGCGTGAATGCTCAGAATCTGGAGAGGAGAATGGAGGAGAAGGGGTTGCAGCAGAGCCGACGCCCCCCAAAACCCCGAGGGTGATTTCTCATTTCCCTTCTCACTGTCTCTCTTCTGGCGAGCACATACGCCGTATGGCAAAAACCTTAAAAAAAAAAAAAATTATAAACCCAATTGCATTTTTCAATCGCTGCCCCTTCATTTCCCCTATTAAACTAGAACAGGAAAGACTGAACTTACTAAGAAGAGTCCATTCTGTCAAGCGGCGGTTTTCATTTATTGATCAGCTGCGTGCTATGATCTTTGACTCTTTTACGTGCACTTGAAGTACAGAGAGGTATTAGTCCCGTTGGCTGCGTGCCGAAGAGAATTCTCTCCTAATTGGCCTTCCGCTGTGGGTCACACTTCCAGTTATGTCACTTACTAATAATATATATATTTTTTTTGGAGAGGATTTTGCTATAGGGCGCGTGCGCTCGCCAGAAAGAGACAGAGAGACAGAAAGCGAGAAATCACTCCCTGGGGGGATGGCCGCACCACAGTCGCTTCTCCTCCATTCTCCTCTCGGGATCTTGGGCACGCACGCACACGTGCCCGGCGTGAGTTTAAGCCACCAGGTCCAGGACTCAAACCGCGGTCGATTACATGGGAGTCCAGCGACATAGCCATCATGTCAACTGCTGGTCCCAATAAAAATAATTCTTTATTTTATTTAACTTCCTTCCTTCCTTCCTTCCTTCCTTCCTTCCTTCCTTCCTTCCTTCCTTCCTAACTTTCTTTCTTATTTTGACCAGAGAGGGACAGAGCAAGAGAGAGAGGGAAGGTAAGAAAGCAAGCCACCAGGTCCGGGACTCGAACTGCAGTCAGCCATGTGAGAGTCCAGTGCCTTAACCACCATGCCACCTGCCACACCTCCCTCCTCCCCCCAGTTTTTTATACCTTTTTGTAGCTTGCTCTCGTGCTGGTCCTAGTCAGGGTTCTTGTCGTGGAAGTGGTGGTGGAAGGGGGCAGGTGATGTTAGACCCCTCCCTACCCTCTGCCATGGGGACCCTTCCTTGTGCATTTTATCACCCTCCTCCCACTTTCCAGGACAACTGTCCTAGCCCAAGACTCTAGGCTGGCCTCTCACGTAGCCACGGCCATGTCGTGTTACAGTCCTCATTTTTCATGTCTGCGTTCACATCTGTTAATGCAGTTCCTACCCAGGTCCCCAAGGCCCAGCACAGAGCCTGGAAGCTCCTTAATGGGCAATCCCGGTATCTCCTGAAATGTGACTGCACCTAAGAACCTCCTCCTTTAGGTAATGGGCCTTTGTCTTTCCTGAAACAAAAGAGAAAGAAGCAGCAGCTCGAGTCTACTTTCTGTTTTCCTGAGCAGAACCCTAGTAGAAAACCTTTCGAAGGTTTTGTGTTCTTGCTGCAAGGCATGGCCACCGAGGACGCTGTTGTGTGGTTCTGAGATGGGGCAGGCTAAGAGCCCTACTGGGTGCGCATCAGGGCTGGGACCTTGCTGGGCACCTGGGAAGGCCTCGGCGTGCAGACGTGTCTGCTGCCTATACCTGCTAGAGATGGCCCTGGGAACTTTGAGCCTTCTTTCTTCCCTGACTCTTGTCTGGTCTTTGCTTCCGTCTGGTGCTCACCGCCTCCGGGAAGTCATCGAGCGTTGCCGCGTTCTGGTATACCTCTTCTTGTCGGAGACTCTTCTTCCTGGGCCCCCTTTCTCACCTCTTCTCAGCCCAGGCCTATGCCCACCTTCACTCCTCACCAGGAACTGGGGCTGGGGCTCTGCTTCCTTCCCACTTTGCAGCCACTGGGCATGTCTGCCCTGTCCCACAGCCGCTGGACCCTAAGCCCCTAGCCCAACCAGCGCCTGATCCCTAGCTCCCCCGCCCGCCTCCTGTTTTCTGCCCAGAGAAAGCGAGTCACAGAAAACCTTGATGTTGGGACCAGCAGTTAGCATAATGGCTATGTCACTGGACTCCTATGTAGTCGACTCTGGTTCGAGTCCCAGACCCGGTGGCTTAAACTCATGCTGGGCATGTGTGTGTGCATGCCCAAGATCCCGAGAGGAGAATGGAGGAGAAGGGATTGCGGCGTGGCCATCCTCCCGGGGGGTGATTTCTCGCTTTTTGTCTCTCTGCCTCTCTCTGTCACTCTGGTGAGTGCACGCGCCCTATAGCAAAAATCTCTCAAAAATAAATAAATAAATAAATAAATGAATAAAGGGGGGTGGAGAACCAGCAGATGGCATAATGGCTACATTGCTGATCTCCCACCGAGTCAACTGCAGTTCAAGTCCCAGATCCAGCAGCTTAAAACTCAACGCTGGGCACATGTTCGTGCACGCCCAAGATCCCAAGAGGAGAATGGCCATGCCACAATCCTGGCTTCTCCATTCTTCTCCTGGGATTTTTGGCACACACACACACACACACACACACACACACACACACACTTGCCTGACGTGAGGGGTCAAGCTGCCAGGTCCAGGCCTCAAACTGTGGTCGGCCACCTGGGAGTCCAGCCCCTTCACCACCACACCCCCTGCTGGCCTGGCCTAGTCATTTTTGTACAATCACGTTCTCTCTCATGCAAAATCTAATATTGCCGCTGGCGACATGTAAGCTCAGCGTTCTGTCTACAATGTTTTTCTTCCAGGGAAGAAACGTTTGACTATTTCTAACCATCCCAATCACGTATCTGACGTTTCACGGTGTCCCGGTGCTTGTCGCGAAGCATGCCAGCCCTTCTGTCTCTCCTCCAGATCTAGGTCGGTCGCGAGAGCTGCAATATGTGTACGTGGATAACAACGCGCACCTGAAGGGCCTGCCGTCCCACCTGTACAACAAGGTCGTCGGCTGCAGCGGGTAAGGCCGCCTTCACGTTCCGCGCTCCACAGCGATCGCTGGGAACTGCTCCAGTCCAAACCCCCTTAGCAACGAGAGTCGTGAGCAAGCCCGGTAGACTATTACATGTTGAGTTGGTAAGCTTTGGGCTCAGTCAGTAAATTCTTTAGTATTTTCAGTAAAAAAAAAAAAAAAAAAAAAAAAGAAAGAAAAAAAAGAATCTAGGGACCAACAGTTGGCATAATGGCTATGTCACTGGACTCCCATGTAGTCGACTGTGATTCAAATCCTGGACCCAGTGGCTTAAAACTCAAGCTGTGCACGTGTGCGTGCGTGCCTAAGATCCCGAGAGGAGAATGGAGGAGAAGGGATTGCGGTGTGGCCATTCCCACGGGGAGTGATTTCTCGCTTTCTGTCTCTCTGTTTCTCTCTGTCTTTCTGGTGAGTGCATGCGCCCTACATCAAAAACCTCTCTGAAAAAAAAAAGTAAAATGACTCCACATGTACTTTTTTTTTCCCTTTTTCTTTTTGCCATGTAAATAGAAACATTTGGGACTAGCAGATGTTGTTGTGGTTAAGGCGCTGGACTCTCACATGGGCAACTACAGTTTCAGTCCCAGGCCTGGCAGCTTAAAATTCATGCCGACCATGTGCACCTATGCCCAAGATCCCGAGAGGAGAACAGAGGAGAAGGGATTGTGGTGTGGCCATCCCCCCTGGGGGGTGATTTCTCGCTTTCTGTCTCTCTGTCTCTCCCTCTGTTCAGTGAATACATATACCCTATGGCAAAAAAACTAAAAAAGAAAAAGAAAAAGAATCATGTCATTGAGGAATAGTTGACAAAGAACTGTATGTATGTGAAGTGGATAGTTAATGATTGGATACACATACACATTGCCATGTTTTTGTTTGTTTTTGAGAGGTTTTGCTATACGGCGCGTGCACTCACCAGAAAGACAGAGAGACAGAGAGTCAAAAAGTGAGAAATCCCCCCTAGGGGGGATAGCCACACCGCAATCCCTTCTCCTCCATTCTCCTTTCGGGATCTTGGGCACGCACGCACATGCACCTGGCGCTAGTTTAAACCACCAGATCCGGGACTCGAGCCGTGGTCGACTACATGGGAGTCCACAGCGACATAGCCATTACGCCAACTGCCGGTCCCCATACATACACATTGCCATTACCATCCCAGTGACGTCAGTCATCGCAAGTCAAGGAGTCAGCATTTATTGAAACACTTTCTCTAAACTCTGCTGCTAGGACGATTTACCTCCAATGACAGCCTCAGTACCCAGGAATTCACCAACTGGAAATATTTAAAATTTAGCATATGAGATAGTCCCCCCATATGAATCATGAGTCAACCAACCAAAATAGATGTCTCAATATATCGGAAATAGGAGGCTGGTATTTTCAGAATGCCAGTCCTCTTTCCTGCCCAGTCGGGCTGTTAGGAAGATGGCTCCCAGGCCTCTCTGGCTGCCACAGTGGGAGTGGAGAGGTCTGAGTTTGAGATAGGGCCATCCAGAGTACTCTCAGTTGAAGATAGGACCACTTGGGGGCAGGGCTAGCAGATAGCATAGTCATTGAGGTGCTGGACTCTCACATAGTCGACTGCGGTTTGAGTCCCAGACCAGGCTAATTGAAACTCCAACTATGTGTGCATGCTCCAAATCCCGAGAGGAGAATGGAGGAGAAGGGATTGTGGCATGGCCATCCCCCTACCCCCGCCCCCATCCTGGGGAGGATGAGTTCTCGCTTTCAGACGTATCTCTGTCTCTTGCTATCTCTCCAGCAAGTGCATGCATCCTATAGCAAAAAAATCTCTAAAAAGAATATAAAATAGGGACCAGCAGGTGGCATGGTGGTTAAGGCTCTGGACACTCCCACATGGCCGACCGGGGTTCGAGTCCTGAATCTGGTGGCTTGCTTTCTCACTTCCTCTCTCTCTCTCACTCTCACCCTCTGTCTCTCTCTGGTCAAATTAAAAAATAAATAAAAAATAAAATAAATAATTATTTTTAAAAATCTCGCTCTCTCACTCTCACCCTCTGTCTCTCTCTGGTCAAATTAAAAAATAAATAAAAAATAAAATAAATAATTATTTTTAAAAAATATATAAAATAAACAAAAATTGGACCGCTGATCTTCCAGAACCTGCTTCCCATGGCCTCCCTTTCTCCACTTACGCAGTCAAAGGAGCACCTTGGGGGTTACCTAACCAGCATGTCTGACTCTCCCCTTCCAGCCCCTAACTTCCCGCATGGCCTGCCTCATAGCATTATGTAGTTCTGGCAAAAAAAAAACCATGATGGGGGACCAGCAGTTAGCATAATGGCTATGTCGCTGGACTCCCACGTAGTCAACCGTGGTTCGCATCCTAGACCCGGTGGCTTAAAACTCATGCCGGGCGCGTGTGCGTGCGTGCCCAAGATCCTGAGAGGAGAATGGAGGAGAAGTGATTGTGGCTTGACCATCCCCCCTGGGGAGTTGATTTCTCGCTTTCTGTCTCTCTGTCTCTGTCTCTGTCTGTCTGGCGAGCGCATGTGCCCTATAGCAAAAACCTCTCAAAAAAACAAAAACAAAAACAAAAAAAAACATGACGGTCCATTCCCCTGACAGCACGGCTCCAGGGATGGGTCGTAAGCTGTGATTCGATTGCTCCAACGGAGGCAGTCGTGGGAACAGCAGCCTTCCCTTAGGGAAAAACCGTACGGTTGTCATCTCAGAAAGGCCATGGATGAGTGCAGTGCCCACACAGGCTGATGAACTCCAAGCCAGGAGATCTATTCCAGAACCTTCTATGCAGCAGAGCTAACACGTGGTGGCGTTTTTAGCTCAGTGATGTTTCTACAGCTGCTTACGCCGCAGCTGTGACACCGCCCTGCCATTAATCCCAACGTGTCCTGAAAGGGTCTTCACTGTAGCGTCATCCTTCCAAGCGGTGGGTGAAGTGTTGTCCTCCACCATGATACACCCATAATGCACGTGTGCTCCAAAGCTCACGTCCCTGTTTCCCCATACCCAGACGGTCAGAGGCTGCACCAACATGCCATCTGTGTCCACCTCGATTAAGGAGCAGCTTTCATTTAGGAGAGCCTTCTGCTTCTGCGTTTAGGTGTGCGGGTTCCCGACTGCCCGAAGGCTCTGTGCGTGCCAGGTAGACCGTTCGCCAGTTAGTGAGGCGTTTTAGGAGTTTCAAACCTTCGAGAAAATGAATGGGGGGCAAAACACACAAATTATTAGCTAACTGTTAATATGTCAGCGTGATTATTCATGAGACTAACAGATGGCATGCGGGTTACGTCACTGGACTCCCATGTAGCTGACCACACTTCGAGTCCTGGACCCGGTGGCTTAAAACTCACGCCAGGCGCGCATACCTGCATGCCTCAAATTCCAACAGGAGAATGGAGAAGAGATTGCAGTGTGGCTGTCCCCAGCTTGGGGGTAATTTCTTGCTTCTTGTCTATCCGTACGAAATGTTTATTTATCAGATAGTCGCTCAGCCTCTGTCTAGCAGGTCAGCACTGTGTTAGGAACGGCAGGAAAAGGCAGATAATTTAGATGTTTATCCTGGTTACAAAATGGCCTGTAATAATGGCTACCCTAAGAGAAGTAGAGGGATGGAAATATGGATATATATTTTTTTAGCTTGCTATAGAGTACTTGCACTCTTCACAGAGAGTGAGGAATCATTCTCCAGGGCAGGTGGCCATGCCAGAATCCCTTCTTCTCTATTCTCCTCTTGGGATTGTGGACACGCATGCAAACGTGCCCTGTGAGATTTTCAAGCCTGGTCCAGGTCTAGGACTTGAACCATGGAGTCAGCCATTTGGGATCCGGCTTCCTGACCCTCTATGCCACCTCTTGCCCAAGTGATGGAAATATATAATATATTTTATATATATATTACATATAAATATATTATATATATTTATATATATATATATGTGTGTGTGTGTGTGTGTGTGTGTGTGTATAACCACTCCAGGTAATAGGGTTGTTTGTATGATGAATGCATTCGGAGTTAAACTAGTAGGCTGAAAGTAGTCCATTTTATGTGGGAGCTGCCTACACACCAGAACAACCATTACTGGATACCTGAACCCTACTTCCAAGGCAAGGTTCCTTCCTCCTTGGGACAGGCCCAAAGCAGCCTGGCTGCAGCTGGAAAGCTCTGGGGTGTGATTTGCACAGTCAGCCAAGAGGCGCTGTTTGCTCCTTGACTCCCATGGAGTTAATTGCTTGCTAAAACAAAATGATTAACATTGTTTTTAAGTGTTCTTTTTAAAGTGTGTAGCAAATTCTCAGAAAGACAGGGACAAAGACAGAAAATGAGAAATCACCCCCAGGGGGGATGGCCACGCTGCAATCCCTTCTCCTCCATTCTCTTCTCGGAATCTTGGGCATGCACACACATGTGCCTGGCGTGAGTTTAAGCCCCTGGGTCCGAGACTCGAACCACAGTTGACTACGTGGGAGTCGTGACATAGCCATCTGCTGGTTCACTCTCTTCTCTTCTCTTTTCTTCTCTTCTCTTCTCTTCTCTTCTCTTCTCTTCTCTTCTCTTCTCTTCTCTTCTCTTCCCTTTTCTTTCCTTCCTTCCTTCCTTTCTTTCTTTCTTTCTTTCTTTCTTTCTTTCTTTCTTTCTTCTTTCTTTCGTACACACATCCAGTATGATTTCCAAGACACCAGATCCGGGACTCGAACCTCACAGTCAGCCATGTATGAACCCAGTGCCTTAACCTTCACCCTGCAGCTAATGGGAAATGGTCATTCCACTCTGTGCCCTGGGCATTGCAGAACTGAATGCCTGCTTCATTCCCCCCCCCCCTCGGAATATCATAACTCATCTTAGTTTGAAATAATAGATAATAAGAAAGAGAAAGCACAGCTCTAAATACCGCTTGGTGTTTGCCGTATTGCCGATCATGTGTTCACTGGTCGATCTGTATTATTGCACGAAATCCTTCCTGCAACCCTCCTGTTAGTATTCCTGTTTTAGAAATGAAGGTAAAATTCCGAGAGATGGATGAAATTGTCCAAGATTACAAAACCAGGTGGCAGTAGTGACCATCTGCAGTCTTGTCCATACCAATTGTTTTTTTAGATTTTTTTTTTTTTTTTTTTTTTTTTTTCTTTAGGGTTTGTGACA